TCATTTGGGAATTAGGACTCAAGAATTTCCTAACATAAAACTCGGTTAACCGAGCATTGGTAGTATCAATATGCACCAAATCATATAAATACATCAAATATTAAAACTCATCACAAGAGGTTTTGTTTATAAATTTTTGCTAATTTTCTCTTTTCTAATGAACACTAAGAATGGCATCAAAATCTCATATTCTTATAAATCACAATCTTTATTGTTGACATTTGAACCTTAAATTCTAGCTACATACTACTGCAAAAAAGTGATTTCCTCTTGGTTGAAAAAAAGTTTTTAACGGAGAGGAAAGGTTTAAATGGTCATTGGTTCGATCCCCAATAACTGCATTTTCAATTTTCTAGAAAACATGCTACCATTTATCTCAGTTATAAATGTACAATTTTTCTTAATTTTACATTATTTTCATTTTAATCTACAAGTACAAATTTGTTGACAAATTATGAAGCTTCTTCGTAATCATCCTTCTCAACCCTTGTGAAGATCAAAGTATGAAATTTGTTACATACCCATATGTATGCAATATATTCTCAATGGTTTTGCATGTATTTGTTTATGATATAAAATTAACAAAAGTTAGATAAAAAATATAATTTATCATGTTACAAGAAAGAGATTATGTAAGGAACACTGACCTCGAACCAATACTTTTTTCTGCTAATGGAATCTATCCTAGAGATTGTTTTCACACTTCTTTAGGTTTTTTTTTTCCAATCCAAATGTTTTAATTGTGAATGTTTTTCTTTCACAACGTAACATCAAAGATTAATAGTTGTGGCATTCACATTCTGACTTGCTGGCGTGAGGTTTTCATGCGGATCGTTGATGATTTAATATTTAAATATAAAATTAAAAAAATGGTGTCATTATAAAAGAAAAAATAAACAAACTACAATTGCTAGAATTTAAAGCATGTCACTTATTTAGCTTTCGCCTTGATTATGTGTATCAGTCTTTGAAATAACTATTTTTTAAAATAAAACTTGGCCTACCCAAGGTTTATACCCCAATTTTTTGTTGGGTGAGGTGAAAATATTTTCATAAAATATATTATTTGTAGTGGTGACATTTTATGGAATTTTCTATTAACGGCAAGTTCAGGTATACTTTTAATTGCAGCTTATGAGTGAGGTTTCTAGTGTTTTGTTCCTAAAACTTACTTTATATATGCGATTTTGTCTATTTGTATCTAGCAGGAGAGTGGGGCTTCATGTTAGTAGATGGAGAATGTGGCTTATTAATAGTTAGAGATTATTGTATATGTAGGTGAATCTGCTTCCATAAGCTGGAACATCAATGAGATTCATATGCAGGGGATTTTAATATGATCAAGAAGGAAAGGGAGAGAAATGGGTCGAGTGGCATTTTTAACAGAGGTAAAGCTTCTGAATTCAATTCTTTTATAGGGGATATAATTTTCATTGATATTCTAGATGTTGGAAGTAGATTCACCTGTCATATACCTAATAGAGGCTTCATGAGTAGGCTTGACCGTTTCTTTCTTACAAAACATATTTTGTTAGCTTGGAAGATTGATGCTTAGTTTGTGGGTAATATGATGTTTCAAATCATAAACCTAGAGGTGGATAAGGCAGTGTTCTTCTATTAATAAGCTTGAAGCCTTAGAGGAAGGTGATAGGGTTGTAAATGTTGATCTTTTTAACAAAGAGCTTCTTGAGGCAGATTTGAAGATATGGAAGATGATGAATTATAGAGAGAGTATATTGCGCAAAAAATCTAGACACAAATGGATCAAACATGAAGCAGCGCTTTAGAAGAAACAAGGTGGTTAGGTGTATGGCTGAAGAGGGGTGGAATAATAATGTGCGGGAAGTGAAGGAGGGGATTAGAAATCATTTTAAAGTTTCCTTTAAAAAAATTATATTTTTGAAGGCCAAATCTTAATGAAATTAAATTCAACCAACTCTCTTTGAAGGATAATTTATCCTTGGAAGTTCCCTTTGAGGAGGAGTAAGTAAAGGATATCGTTTGGCAGTATGAAAATGACAAAAGTCCAGACCCTGGCGGTTTTAAAATGAATATTTTCAAGGCTTGTTGGGAGATCATCAAGGTTGATGTTTTGATTTTTTTTGGTTATTTTTTGTGCAGGTCCAAGGTCGTTAGAGCGATCACGAATTCTTTCCGTACCATTATCCCAAAATCTGAGAATCCCCAATCTTTGGGGGACTATAAACCTATTTGTTTGATCTCTAGTCTCTATAAAATTATTTCTAATCTCTTGGCTTCAAGATTGAAGAAAGTGTTGGATAGCATGATATCGAATCTTCAATAAGCTTTTCTTTCAGGAAGGCATATTCTTGATGGGGTGCTTGTTGTAAATGAGATTGCGGACTTTTTTTCTTGATACAAGAAGGATCTCTTGGTAGTCAAGGTTGATTTTCAGAAGGCTTATGACTGCGTCTTGTGGGATTTTATGAGGTATATGCTGAAGAGGATGGACTTCAGACCAAAATGGTTACTTTTGATGGAATGTTTAATTTTCACCAGCTCTATGTACGTTTTGGTTAACGGGAATCCTACTGCCAAATTTCATGTGGACAAAGGATTGAGACAAGGGGATCCTTTTTCACCTTACTTTTTTCTTTTGGTGGCATAAGGTCTGTCTAGTTTGGTGTCTCAAGCTTCGGGTTTTGGGGAATTTAATGGCTTTCATTTATAATCGAGATATGAAGTTTGCATTGCTTTAATTCACTGACGACACGATATTATTTTGTGATGGAGCTTGGAATAATATGTGGAGTATCAAAGCATTGCTTCGTGGCTTTGAAATTTTATCGGTTCTAAAGGTTAATCTATCCAAGAGCAAGATGTTCGGGATGAATTTGGGTGCAGGTTTCATTACTGCAGTAACAACATTCCTATCTTGCGGTGTAAGTTCTATTCTTTTTTTTGTTTTTGTGGATGGATGTGGGAATGAATCCAGGAAGGATCTCTTCTTGGTCGTCAACTGTCGATAAGATTTGTAGTATATTAGCGTCGTGGAAGGGAAAGTTCCTATCGCAAGGAGGTTGTATAACTTTGATCAATGCGGTTTTAACTAACATCCCAATTTATACTTTCTCTTTTTACCGGGCTCCCAAGGAGATCATTCACGAGATTATTAAGATCCAGAGAAATTTTATTTTAGGGGGAGAGGAAGGTCAAAGGAAAGTGTGTGGGTGAAAGAAACAGAGAGGTTTAGGTATAAAACATTGTGGTCTTTTCAATCAAGATCTTCTTAGCACTTGGTTGTTAAGGATTATTACTGATTTCTAATGTACCTTAGAATGCTCTTCTGTCTTATTAGTATGGAGATTTCCTTTCTCTTATTTTTAACTAATCAATCTTGCCTTCGAGGAAGAAAGATTCGCTTTGGTGGAGGGACTTGTTGAATACACGGTTCAGTTTCCTTTCATCTCATAATTGGCTCATTCACCAAGTTTGCTGCAAGCTGGGCAATGGTACTTTAATCGGTTTTTGGAATTTTAAGTTGTTGAGTGGTGTTATTCTTATATCTATTTTCCGTCTTGTTTTTGTCATTGTAGCATACCCAGAATCTAAGATTGTAGATGATGGGTACTGGACCGATGGAGTTTGGCATTGGAGAATTTGGTTAGATAAAGAGTTGCTGACTTTGGAGGAAGAAACTCAATTGGCAGAGCTTTACAGTATTCTCTGTTAAATTAGTTAAGTGATCAAAGCTGAAAATGAGTTTGTTTGGTGGTCTAGCAAGGGTGGTTTTTTTGTCAATAGTGTCTACTTTGTGATTATAGCATTGCCCGAGTTTTCAAGAAGAGGTGAAGTGTGACCTATATCCCTTCTAACCAAGGTATGAAAGTCTAATACTCCTAGCAAGATTCATGTTTTTTGTTGGAGGTTCCTCCTTTGTTTTAGTATTTTTTCTTTTAATTAAGGATTTAGTATCTCTTTTACTCCTCATAATAAAATCTTATTTGTAAAAGAAAAAACTACCTTTATTATTGTTAAAGAAAACTATCTTTATTGTTGTTAAACATAACTAAACTTGACAAAATAGCCTTTTAAGATGTGGATTTCTCACATTTATATAAATATATGTTATGATAGGAGAAATCATTCCAACTAATCTTGAAGCATACTATCTTTATTGTTGTTGAACATAACTAAACTTGTACAAAATAACCTTTTGAGGTGTGGATTTCTCACACTTATATAGATATATGTTCAAGTGATATATTATATACTTTTCAATATAAGATTATTCATTAACTAAACTAACATAAGTAAATTGGTTCATTGACTTTTAGTATAATTCAAATTCATCTTGATTTTCCTGTCCATGAGTATCATGATGATTTTCATCATAAATGATATTGTTTTGGTTCTCTTGATTATTTATTTTACTTTTTTTCCCCTCAGTAAACAACAAATATTGTGAGGGAAATATAAATTAATGTTTTTCTTAAAATTTTAATTTGTCAAAATGACTTAGTTTTTAATTTTTTTAACTTTTAAATTTAGAGTATGTTTATTTGATAATTGTGTTTTAGCAAAAACTTGTAGTTATTTTTGTTAGATATAAATTACAAGTTATTTGTCATCAATTATAAGTTATCCGATAACTTATCATCTATATGTTATTTTTACCAAATAGAATATTAAAACGATCACATATTTTTTCTATAATCTTTGAAATTTTGTCAAAAGTATCTTGAATTAAGACATAAATATATTATATTTTTTAATTAAATTTTTTTTTGTTCTATTTATAATTTTTTTAATTTTATTAAATATATAATGTATTTGGTCTATTTATTTATCAAATATATTTGTTATTCAAATTATTTAGAAAATAAACTTATTAGATGATAAAGAAAGAGATTGACATTGACATGATATGGTTCACAAAAATATTGGAGAGACAGGAAAAGCTAATTTATTTCAAATGATGCTATTATTATCTGCACGGCATTTCCAAAAAAAGTAAATTCCCACATAACTGCAACAGTTTATTTTCCATGGCTCCAAAGATGTTCATCGTACACAAGACTGAAGTATTCATGTTCATACCCCATAGCTAATATTGTAGCTTCATCACTTGGAGGAACATACGTATTGTCTATTATACACGGTTCTGCCCAGAAATTATCATTCAAAACATCCATGTATTCATCCATTAAAGGAAGCTCATCAAAAAGGTATTTTTCATATGATATTTCCGTACTAGTTGGAGTATCTATTGTTTCACTTGAAGATAATGGAATTGTAATATTGGGGCCACTGTTGCTCTCTAACACTCCTCCATGTTTGTTTTGTTCTTCCATTTTAGGGTTATCTGAATTTATGTCTTTGGAGTTTCCTGTTCCCTTATTAGTGTCTGTGTCTGATTTATTATTCTTCATAAAACGCTTTTTCAAGTTTGTGTGCCAATGATTCTTTATCTCATTATCTGTTCTTCCAGGTAAATTTGCAGCAATCACAATCCATCTGTATAATAAAATTTGTATAATCATCATAAAAAAAGCCCTAATACTATTCACAGAAAATAAATGAACCAAAGTCCAAATTACGATATATATAGATATAGCATAGATGATACCTATTACCAAGTTTTTGATGAAGTTTGATGATAGTATCTTCTTCTTGTTGAGTAAAGTTTCCTCTTTTGATATCTGGTCTTAAATAGTTCAACCACCTTAATCTACAACTCTTCCCACACCTTTCAAGTCCTGAAAACATTATTATTCCAAGATAATAACACATGCTACTATTTTAAGAAGAAAACCAACATACAAACATGAACAAATAATTGTTTATATAACCTGCAAATTTAGGTAGTTGTCGCCAATTCCAACAGCCATATCTAGTTACATAAGCGATTAACTTTTTGTCTTCTTCAGGAGTCCATGTCCCTTTTCTCAATCCAGTTTTGTCACAACAAGGGCTTCTCACCATATCTTCTCTAACTATTACTACTAATACTGACTCCACGTATGAGTGTATGGTTGTGTATGGTGGTGTGTTATATATTAAGAAAGTTTAACTAGAAGATAAATAAAGTGATTAAGATTTGAACTCAATCTGTTGAGTTTTGTATTATTCCTTCTGTTCCAAAATAATTATGATAGTTGATTATTTTATAGAAGTTATGAAAATATAATAAATGACAGAGAGAATACCATTTTTATCAAATTATTTTTTGTTTATTATTGATGTATTCAAATTATGACAGATATAAAATAAGAGAATAATAAATTAAGAGTATTAACTAGAGGGTATAATTGAAAAATAAATATTAAAATTATATTGAAAATTAAAATATGATATTTATTTTAAAATAATTTTATTTAATGTGATAATTACTTGAGATGGAGGGAATATATAATTGGAGAGACTGATAAATATACAGTGGACATACATGTGATATGTCTACTAGTTTATTTTCTTATGTTATAACGGCCACACGTTTAGAATATCCACTTCAAAAATAACATGCGCTAAAAACTAACAAAAATGATATTCTTATACCCATTTTTACACCCAATACTTACACCGTATGCACTGTTCACCGTATTTATAAGGTGAACAGTGTTTTTTTATTAAAATAATATATATTTTTTAAAATATTAATTTTTTTTTTAAAAAAATATTTATTTTTAAAATTTATTTTATAACACAAATATAGTATTGCGCATTAACCAATTTCAGAGTTGCATTAACCACAAAAATCTACATCATTAACCAATTATTTTACCTATAATTTATTAACCACTTTCACTGCTTCATTAACCAATAAAATACACACTATTAACCATATTCTGAAGAATTTGGTCAAGTATTTGTGAACAGTGAATTGGGTGTAGGGTGTAGAAAATAGTGTCAAGATAGCAATCCTGAAAAATTAATTACGTGTTTCACGGTATCTTAATATTTTGTTTTTTGTACAGTTTTAGGAGTTTTATTTGTTTCGACAAGCTGATTAAGGAATACTTAATATCTTATGATAAAGGTAGAGTTTATCGTCCACACTTGTATTATGTTATAAATTTGATTATAAAAACAATGAAATAATTTTTTCTTTTTAACCGGGAAAAGAAATTGTGGCAATGTAAGAAACTAAACTCATTGAGATCTCCTATTCTCTGTTGGAAATTCACCTCACACCCTATGAAGAATTCACTCCAATCTTGATCTCAAGATTGATGAACAAACCCACAATATGATAATGATGGTAATAACAAGTAATTATCAAGAACAACAAAAGAGAAGAAGAATAACAAACAAGAAAGAGAAGAATGAGAGAAAAAGTATTTGGAGAGAATGTGTTACCCACAACTGTGGAATTTCTTATTGAACTTTCACTTGCTAATTGCAACTGTGAAATATGTTCTGTTGTGATGTAGAATACAAAGCAAGACACCCTATTTATAGTTTTAGGTTTACACTAGCCCAAAATATTATAAATCAAATCTAATCATATGGTATCAAATCTAATCATATGATATCAAATCTAATCATATCAAATTAATCATATGATATCAAATCTAATCATATGATATCAAATTAAATCTGTTTACACAATAAATTATATTTAACACACCACCTAATTCATTGTGTCTAAACTGTCTACATTCATCATGGCCCTTAGTCTTCTGAAGGCTTCGACCTGCACTCCCTTCGTCATGATATCTGCAATCTGATTCTCAGTTCTGCAGTGTTCCAACTTCATCTTCCCTTCTGCTACCTGCTCTCGAAGATAATGGAACCTCATTTCGATGTGCTTGCTTCGACCATGAGCTATTGGATTTTCGCCAAGTTGATAGCTGACATGTTGTCTATCTTCATGGTAATTGCTCCATGATTCTTCCCTGTGATTTCTTCGCCTTGTTTCACAAACCCAGCTGGTTGTGCAACATAAACTTCTTCGTTTAAGGGGCCATTAAGGAATGCACACTTCACGTCCATCTGACATGTGTGCCAGTTGTGCATATTTGCTAGACCAACAACCAACCTGATTGTTTCGATTCTAGCAACAGGTGCGAATACTTCATCGAAGTCGATTCCTTCCTTCTGAAGAAATCCTTTCGCCACAAGTCTCGCCTTGTGTCGAGTCACTTCTTCTTTAGGATTTACCTTTACCTTGTAAACCCACTTCACATCAATTGCCTTCTTGCCTTGTGGCAATTCGACAAGTGACCAGGTATCATTGACTTCGATGGACTCCAACTCTTCAGTCATTGCTTTCATCCACTTCGAATCTTTCAATGCCTCAGCTGCATTGACAGGTTCGACATCTGCGTAAAAAGCATAATGTACCAACTCACCCTCTTCATCGACTACATCATCTGATGTAATTACACATTCTTGCAACCTTGCAGGCATGTGTCTTGTTCGTCGAGGTCTGCTTGAACCTGCTTCATCTGCAACTGGTTCCTGTCGAACTTCTATTTCGACTTCAGTGGCTGGTTCTTCACAAGAGATTCTCACTGAATCCTTCTTGGCATTCTCAGTCCAATCCCATTCTTTAAGCTCATCTATGATCACATCCCTGCTGATCACTACCTGCTTATTCACTGGGTCGAACAGCTTGTAACCTCCTGTCGAATGATATTCTATCAAGATCATCTGATTCGACTTATCATCAAGCTTCCTTCTCAACTGATCTGGCACATGTCTATGTGCTATAGATCCAAACACCTTCAAGTGACTGAGACTAGGCTTGACACCAGACCAACATTCTTCTGGTGTGATTCCTTCAAGCTTCTTCGTCGGACATCTGTTCAATATATATGTTGTTGCCGAAACTGCTTCTCCCCATAATTCTTTAGGTAGATGTTTTCCATTCAACATACTTCTCACCATATTCATGATGGTTCTATTCTTGCGTTCTGCAATTCCATTTTGTTGTCGAGTGTAAGGTGGCACCACCTCATGCACAATCCCTTCTTTTACACATAGTGTATCGAACTCTTTCGACATACTCTCCACCACCATCAGTCCTCAGAATTTTCAGCTTTCGACCACTCTGTCTTTCGACCATGGACTTGAATATGGAAAATAACTCAATCACATCACTTTTCTTCTTGATGAGGTAAGTCCACAGCTTTCGGCTGTAATCATCTATAAACGTGACAAAGTATCTATTGCCATTAATCGAATCCACCTGGATTGGACCACATACATCAGAGTATATGACTTCAAGTATTGCCTTCGACTTCCTTCCTGCATCCTTGCTGAAGCTATTCTTGTGTTGTTTCGAATGAACACACTCTTCACAGACTTCACTTGGAATGTCGATTTCTGGTAATCCTGAAACCATATTTCTTTTCTTCAGTTCTCTGATGTCATTAAAGTTGAGATGACCTAGTAAAAAATGCCATAACCACTCATCTTTGCTGGCTGCAGTTGCTAGAAATCTATGCTCCATCACATTTAGTCCAATCTTGAAGGTCCTATTCTGAGACATTGGAGCCTTCAAGATTAATCTACCACCTGCGTCGAGAACTCTCATCATCTTGTCTTCGACAACTACCTTGTAGTTCTTTTCGACAAGATGCCCTATGCTGAGCAAATTACTCTTCATGCCTGGTATGTACAACACATTGGAAATTGTTGACCTTTTGCCATCTTTCCTCATAATCAGAACATCACCAACACCTTCGGCTGCTAGAGTGTTGTCATTTGCAAACTTCATAGTGTTCTTCGACGAGGGCTTCATGTTGACAAACCAATCTTTCCTTCCAGTCATGTGTGATGAGCATCCTGAGTCCAAGTACCACTGATCTTGGAATCTTTCTTCATCTCTTGTTGTGATTATTAGCAACGTTTCTTCTTCTTCATGTTTCGCCAGCTTTGCATCAGTCTCTTGATTTCTCTTCCTTTCTGGACAATCACTAAAATAATGACCATACTTCTGACAATTGAAACATTGAATGTGGCTTTTGTCTGTCTTTCGACCACCACCTCTTCCTTTACCTGCAGCATCACCTCTTTGTTTGCCTTGGTTCCAAGGTTTCTTCTGATTCGACTGGTTTCCTCCTTTGTTGCCATTCCAGTTACCTTTGCCTTTTCTTTCCTTTTCTGACTGCGCCTGCAAAGCCATATCTTTCGACTTTCTTGCAGCTCTCTCAGCCATCCTCTGTTCATGAGACTCAAGAGTCCCTTGAAGCTCTTCCTTCGTCAATACTGACAGATTTTTCGACTCTTCTATGGCAACTACCACGTGGTCGAATTTTGGAGCCAACGATCTCAAAATCTTTGAGACAACTTCTTTCGTCGTTAGCGCTTCTCCACATACTTTGATTTGATTCACCAACTTTGTAACTCTGGTGAAGAAATCTGTAATGCTCTCATTGTCTTCCATCTGAAGCAACTCATAGGTTCTCTCGTGAGTTTGTAACCTCACCTCTTTCACCTTCTCTGCGCCTCCAAACGACTTTTCAAGAATCTCCCATGCTTCTTTTGCTGAATCAACATCACTAACCTTTTCAAAGTTATCAGGATCAACACACTGATGAATTATAAAGAATTCTTTATAATCTTTCTTCTTCAATTCTTTGTGCGCAACCTTTTCCGCCTCTGTTACGTTCTCCCCAAGCGATGTTACTCCGTCCTTCACAAGATTCCAAAGATCTTGATAACAGAAAATCACTTTAATCTGCTTGCACCAATTCTCATAATTGTCTTTCTTGAGAATTGGCAGGGTCGCCAGAAAGTTGTCGTTCGGATAATTCATCGCCATCACTATCTTCCTTCCTTGAATTTCTCAACCGAAGCTCTAGATACCAGATGTTGGAAATTCACCTCACACCCTATGAAGAATTCCCTTCAATCTTGATCTCAAGATTGATGAACAAACCCACAATATGATAATGATGGTAATAACAAGTAATTATCAAGAACAACAAAAGAGAAGAAGAATAACAAACAAGAAAGAGAAGAATGAGAGAAGAAGT